GGAGGATTCATGGACATTCTAAGGATCGTGAGGAAGCATGTGGACACTTGGAGAACTCAACCACTCAGCAAAGGACCTGAGATCGAGTTGCTGATCGGGCAAGGCAGATCGATCTAGACGAGATCGACCAGAAAATAGAGTGACCCCCAGTCGATTCAAGTGGAAGATCGAGCATGAAATCGAGTGAGGAGGTCGATCGAGAGTACGGACATGGGCCAGATCGAGTTCCCGACCCGATCATCAAAGGATCGAGCGAAGTCATCCAATCCTAGAGAAGATCGAGCCGGAGATCGAGTGACCCGAGTCGAACCCAGACTAACCTTATCCGTCCAGCTGGTTTTGGCAGCTAGCGAAGGGGGGACCATTTGCGGTTTAGCCATTTTTGGCAAACCGCAGCCATCACTTTCATTATCCCCCATTCTGTCTTTTACTTTTTCGTTCTCCTTTATCTTAGGCGATTTTTCGCCATTGTAGACTTTAAGCTTTTCTTGCATTTTGAACCTTTGAATCTTGAAATCATTAAGTCTTTTGCTTTAATCCATTGTTTAATCATGATTAGCTGTTTATCCGTTGCATTCTGTTCAGTTTTATTTATGAATCGCGAGTAGTTTCCTTAGGGTAAGGGGTTGAGGCGATTCGAAAAGGGTCAAAAAGGTTTAAGTTTTGTGTTTTATTTGTTCTTCATACCTTCTCTTCTAGGATCTTGGGATTTTAAAGCCTAGAGAGCCTTGGAAAAGGTCTCTATGAACCAAAGGCTGTCTTACCTTGACAGGATTCAGATGTCCTGGAAAACCAGATCATAGTGGCTAATCCTTCCTTTCCCATACGCCATGGTTGTTTAGGGGATTAGTTAGGTCATTGTTTGAAATCTGTCTTTCTTGCTCTTCGATCTCTTTTTCCACCAAACGCCATGGGTTTGGAGAAGAGATTGAGGAAGTGAACCATATCACACGCCATGGATGGTTCTTGTTTTGTTTTCGAGGCTTAGAGAAATCTCTTAAAAGAGTAGATCTAAATGTTTTCAAACCAAAGCTTAAATCTTTGATACCCTTGAATATGACCCTCGATCCTAAATCCTCTCTTTTTAGCTTATTAAAACCTATGCTAGTCGTTTGCTTGTCATAAAATTGCATCTTTGTCCATTAGAAGTAAATCGCTTTAAGTTGTTTGTTAGATCAGTCCATTCTGTTCGATCCAGTGCTCGATCCTGTGGTCGATTCACTGGTCAATTTTTAGTTCTTACTAGTTTTACATTTTTAATCTTTTGCTTGTTCCTAGTGGTAGTTAACCCTTTTCCAGGGATTTTAAAATTGTTTTGTATTGCATTAGATCGTTGCATTTAGTTTTCCTAGATTTTACCAATCATTTATCATATTTGCGTAGCTTTACCTTACCCTTGCATTCTCATTGTTCTTCCTGCTCCCTAGGATTGGATTGATACCTCTTGCACTATATTACATCATATAGGTTGTTTGAACTTTGATAACCTCCTTGCTTGCATACTTGAAAACCTGTTATCATGATGTCAAATGAGTCACAATTTTATGAAAGGTTTTGCGTTCTCTTCCACCTAATGAGATGGTGTGGGATCCCAGTCCATGGGTTTGGTTTCCGGTGAGTATAGAAAAATAATATTTTTTCGCACACTAACCTCATTAGACATATATTTTCCTAAATTTTACAAGTTTGAGATCTTGAATAGTGATAACAGGGAAAATTTATATAGTTAGTTACTGCAAGGTACGGCGCTGAAACTTGAAACTCTTTTTCTTCTTTCTATATTTTGGGTTAAATCAAAATTCAAAATTTACCGAAACTTTACAACTATTTAGACCTTTTACCACTCTATTTCAGATGGGATTAGAATATGGATGCAACAAGGCTGTGAATTTGAATAATTTCCTACATTCGTTACTAGCAGAAGGTGGAGAAGTCGAAAGTTTTTTTCTGTTGTATTGTTCGATAATTACCTCAACTTTATCTACTCTTGGCCACTTGATCTCGATGTTCATAAAGCAAGGAATATGTGTATATGTTTTAAATTTATTTAGTATAGATGATAATAAAAAAAAACACATTTACTTTAAATCGTTGTGTTTCATGTGTAAAAGGTATCTTCAGACACTTGCAAATTCAATTACTAATTGGTTTTGTTTTTTTTTTAAGAAAAAAATAGAACTTCCAGGCTAATTTCATGCTCACGAATTTGAAATCACATAATGCTATTCATGTTTAAAACTGGATACTGTGCACCACACGTTATAAGCATCTTGACGATAGTTGCAAATATTTCCACAAGTTATAGAATTTGGTGATATCAAATTCCAAATAGTTATGGTTTTATTATATTGAAGATATTCTTTTAACTTTTAAGTATAGTTTGAGTTAACTAAATAAAACGAATTACTAGCTCAACTTCATTCAAATAAGTCGATGAATCAAAGTGTTTATGGAAAAAAAATGCAAAAAGTTTGACTCAGATTATATTTTACAATATTGATGATGTTTTATGTAACAGACAATTTGAAATATATATGGTCAAAAGTTAAAATTGTGTACATATATTAAATATCTTACATAAATAATTAGAGATATTAACAACTTTAAAAAGACCAAATTAAGTTACTTATTTTAAAATTTAATAAACATATATTTGCTTTTGAATTCATAAAAAATATATTAATTATTATGATATTACTTTCTTCGTATAATAAATAAATCTATAATTTCGGACGTAGCACGGAACATTAGCTAATATATTTAATGACCAAATTTAATTTTATTTTAGTGTAAATTACCAAACTTCAGTTATATTCTATGGTTTTATGAATTTTATTTTCTTCAATAATATTATGTCCAAAAAACCTACATAAACAAAACTACCAACAAATTAATTAGATTATATATTTAAATTATAAAAAAAATTATTAATACAAACCGCGTGTAACACGGCTCAATCCCTAGTATTTGTAATAGTAATAACTCGAAAGATATGAGCCGTCCTCTAATAATAAAAATGTTAAGAATTAATAGGAACAATTCTTAAAAAGGTGGGTTCAAATAGTGTACCAAAACATAGTTTTATGAGCACAAAAACTAGAAAGTAAGATTAAATAGTTTTAGTATTAATGATTACAAGCTTTTACAAAAGAAAGAACATGAGACAATATTTGAACTGATAATCTAGAGCAAGAATAGGATGTTTTTGAATGATAAGTGTCTATGTAGAAAGTACTAGTGTTATAAGTTGAAAAAGTTATCCCTCGATCCTTGCTCATCCTCTTGTTTTATAGCTCTTCAAACCATGTTTGACGTCTTTATTTACTCTTAGTGATTATGTCGTAAATGTGTTTATTCCAGTGGATTTAGCCGTTTTGAATCAGAGCATTGAAATATTATTCGTTTGAATAATTTCTCACTTCATCGTTAGAGTCGATGTCTAGGTGTTTCGTGAAGGTTTTAACCGTTTCTTGCTCCTAATATCATGGTGAGTGAGTTTAGAGCTTGATCTTGCTTTAAGCGTCCCCACCTTGGTAGAATACTAATCTCGTTGTTGGACTTCTGAACTTTTATGGCTAAATGGGCATAATATACTTGAACATTGATTTACACCTAGACAATTAGCCCCCCAATTACTTAGAGTGGATTTTACTATGTTTGAGAAATTTTACTCGAATCGTCATCTTAAATTAGAATCCCGACAATATATTTACTTGCGTCTTTCCTTTATGACTGTATGCTTTCCTGATCTCCATCTTCCCTCAGCATAGTTCTCTCTGCGACTTCCTTGTTTTTGAGGTAGCTTTTTCGCAGGTGGAACATTTATCATAATGGTTATGGCTTCTTCAGGCAACCTCCCTGATAGCATTTATATTTTGCACATTTTTATTAATAATAAATCAATACTTTAACAAGTACTTTACATAGCTTTTTATGCATAAATATTATATTTTGTGTATTTGTATGGTCAAAATTCTTTTCCAGAAATTTAACAAAAAGATGTAAAATTGTGTAAAAAGAACATTTCCAGAACAAGTGCAAGATGACAGAAGTTGAGTATCAAACGGAGACCTTCCCACCAGGACATCAAGCTGAGTTTTGGTAACAAGATAGGCTGATCTAATACCTTTTACGCCGAAATGTTTTAAGGTCAATCCCGTAGTTGGATATCTAGTTATAAAACAAACATGGTCTCTCAATACAAGAAGAAGCACAATGGCTGTGACATGCCTTGCTCTGGCCACCCCACCGGTCGTTGAATGAAGGGTCACCTCACATGTTGTTCCCGAGCCCATTTGAGGGCCCAACTTAATCCCGCAGACATCAGACGCAAGCCAAGAACTATGTAACGCCCGAGAAATGTCGAAGACCTATAAATACTGGATTTTAGGGCTTCGCTATATATCAACTTTTATCAACTCTTATATTTTCACGTTTCTTAGCTACCACCAAAGTATTCTACCACGTTTGTTCTTTTTTTTATAAGGAAAATAGATTCATCTCTTGAACCCTTTTTATTTCAGTGATCAATCGAAGCATGCATTCACTCATATTGTTTTGGTTCCTTTTAATCATGTCTGATTAATTTTCTTTTCGTTGGGTGTTCTTAAAGGAAAATAAACTAATAAAAAAATGGTATATACCTGAAAAAATATATATTACTAATATTGGTTTTATTTCAGTTATTTTATTAATTATTTATTAAGTATTTTTTATGTACTAAGTCAGATCGGTTTTTGTTCATAGTGTTTAGTTTTAACCTTTTTTTCAATTGTTTTAATTTTTTCATCTGTTATTCTCATTTTTTTATCTAACAGATTTTGCACACTTTATTTGTATTAAACTTTAATTATTATTTTTATTATTTTTTGATAAAATTTCAAATTCATTGATCAGAATGGAACCAATGTGTACAATGCAGTGTTCCTATTAAAAATATAGAAGCATCGGAAACTAATTTACATTAGAAAAATAATAAACAAAGCGCCACCAACTTCAAATTATTTTCTAAATAGCCCATCAAACTTGTGAGGGAAGCTATAGTGAAAGGACACAATCCAGTTACGCTCAGCCTTGTCAATACTGTCTGTTAAGTTTTTGGTGCACCATCTAATTCCAATGATGTCACCTGTTATTACGTTCTCTCCAGAGGAAGTAAATTATGGTTTGGGAGGATAATCTCAACAATATATTGTCTATTTGATCGAGTTTGAATGATGGAGGGTATCACACCAATCCAGATTTGCTGCAACACGAAGGAGTCGACTTACACAGCTATCCAGACTATATATTAGTATGGACATGCGAAGAAGAAGTGATCACGCGACTCGTCTTCCACCCCAAACAATAGATAGTTTTTTCCATACCCCAGGCTCTCTTCTGAACGTCTGTGGTAAGACGATCTCTAATTGCTAGTCAAGTGATGAACGCATATCAGGGCACACCGTGGGAAAACCAGATTACACAATCCCAAGTAACACGCTCTCTCCTGTGCTGAATATGTTCCCAAGTATTGGTATTTGTCTTCATAGCACTACATCTTTACCCATTGTTGAAGTGGAGATAGGGCGTATTTGTATTTTGGCAATCAGATCGCGATTCACTTGTCCCCTAACTCGTCTGAGAGATCAGCCCTCCTAGTTGACAGCTTCACAACGCATGGCTTGTATACTAATGCCAAGTGTTCAGATACCACCTTCTCCAATAGTATCAATCAGTTTCCTTTCTTGAATCTAGTCAACAAACCAGAAAGATGTAAACCTCCCATCATGAATGTCAACGCATAAGAACTGATATGTGGTCTATCTTAGTTTTAATATCTTGTTTGGAGCTAATGATTAAGATAAGTAAAAAGCATGCATACAAAGAATTTGTTATATAATTTGTTAAAAATCAAGCTGTTAATTTTCACAACTGTCTTCTTGAATCTAGCTTGACTTAAATGATTTGCTGTATTCTTGGTGCCTTAAGAGCTCAGATGGATTGATACCTTACATGCTGCAATGACATGAGTGTGTTAGGATTTGATGAGCTAGTCATTTTCCTGCTATCAACACGTTTCATCATCATTGAGGTGTTCATTGACTATCACAGGATAGGTTTCATTAGGTCCAAGAAATACATACATTAGCCCCTTGGGAAGGTGTTTGAGGTCTAGCTTGGGTGCCTTAAGCTCACTCCATTCTTCATCTCCAAGATCTGATCCTGGTTCGCTATCCTTAGCTCCACTGGCTTCTTGACTTATTGAATTCACAACTTCCCTCCTTAGCCTGACAAAGGGCTCATGGTGAGTATCTAGCTTAGCTTCCTTCAACAGCTGCTCATATTCTGCTGTTTCCTCACTCAAATACCCATACTCTCCTGGTGCTTTGGGTAAAGCTGTGCTCAGATGATCCTTTGTATGCAACTCTTCCATTAATTCAGTTCTCAAGTTTTCCATGATATCCACGCTGAAGATTTGATAGGGATCAGGTTTTACCCATTTAATTAACTACTGCAAATGCACAGCAAAGCAGTTGTAGCATAAAAATGTTATCGAATCCCAAGGGAGTAAACTTATACACTAGCGATTATAGATTCAGATTAAGCTAAGCAGTAAATAATGAATGTAATGCAAATTAACTAAAGTAATGGAAGCATGCGATTTGTTGATTGATCAAAGTTTCAGAAAACTAAAAGCGCTAAGTCAGGACCATTCGCAGGTTGAATCTGAGAATGTAGAATGCATGCAAGCAGGAATGAATTAAAACCGTCTTAAACTCAAAACTCAATGGTATAACTAATCAATTCTCATTGCAGAAGTTATATATGCCTAATTCACAGAATTCCAAATCTCTTTGCAAATTCTAACAAGTTAAGCAAGCATTAATGATGAGGTTTCGATTGTTCACAAAAATCATAAGTCAAATCTCTTTGCAAATAAGTTTTTTGCTCATCCAATACTAGTTCAGGTGATTAACAATGTTCTCACATCTATTAAACAACCCATGGTTTTGAAATCTAGATGATTAGTCTCAGAAATCGATATGAATGCAAGTACAGATGAAGAACCAATTGATTTTCTAATAGTTTAGCAATTCTACAAACTCTTCATCAACCTTTGAAAAGCCCTAACTTAACTAACAGATTACTCAGAAATGATCATGAAGACACACAACATAACTGAATAAAACTGCATTAACAGAATAAAGTAAAAGATAAAGGGGTTCAGAATCTTCTCTAAATGAGTACAGGATTTGTCTCCCCAAAAGCTCTGAATAAATCTCTCTCTAAAGCTCTTTGAATTCTAAAATCTAAGATACAAGCAAACAATGGCTGAAAACCTAATATATACAAGCTAAAACACGAGTTGGGGTCTTCTTGCAAATAGTGAAACTTCTGGGCCAAAGGTGTAATTTCATCCCCATCTTTTAATTTATGTCGCGACTCCTCTTCAGATGCGGGTGACGAGCGTCACCCTTGAGTGGTGACGATCGTCACTAATGCTAGTCGATTCCTTCTCAGTTGCTAACTTCGTGGTTGATTCTTGCAATGATCCAAAAAGCTCCAAAACTCTCAATTGTGCTCCAGTCATGCTATAACCTGCAGAGACTCTACTAGGAGTCTAAAAAGACCAAAAGGCTCAATAAAAAGGACTTATACCATGCTTAAAAACCATAAAAACCATGATATATCAACTCCCCCAGACTTAGCTTTTTGATAGGCCTCAGGTTTTACCCAACTAAAACTACTGCAAGTGCACAACAAAGCAGTTATAGTATAAGGGGTTATCGAATCCCAAGGGAGTAAGTAAAATACATTACCAATTATAGGTTCGGACTAAGCGAAGCAATAGATAATGAATGTAATGCAAAATAACTAAAGTAATGAAAGCAAGCGATTATTAATTGATCTAAGATTCAGAAAACTAAAAGCGCTAAGTCAAATCAATTCGCAGGTTGAATCCAAGAATGTAGAATGCATGCAAGCATGAATGATTTAAACCGTCTTGAACTTAAAACTCAATGATATAACTAATCAATTCTCATTGCAGAAGTTATCTATGACTAATTCATAGAATTCCAAATCTCTTTGCAAATTCTAACAAGTTAAACAAGCATTAAAGATCAGGGTTTGATTGTTCACAAAACTCCTAAGTCAAATCTCTTTGCAAATAGGCGTTTTGCTCATCTAATACTAGTTCAGGTGATTAACAATGTTCTCACATGTATTAAACAACCTAAGGTATTTCGAATTTCCAGATGACTAGTCAGAGAAATCGGTTTGAATGCAAGCACATATGAAGAACCAATAGATATTCCTAACAGTTTAGCGATTCTACAAACTCTTCATCAACCTTTCAAAAGCCCTAACTTAACAAACAGATTACTCAGACATGATCATGAAGACACAAGACATAACTGAATAAAACTTCATTAAAAGAATAGAGTAAAAGTTAAAGGGGTTCAAAATCTTCTCTAAAAGAGTACATGATCTGTCTCCCCAAAAGCTCTGAATAAATATCTCTCTAAAGCTCTCCGAATTCTAAAATCTAAGATAGATGCCAACAATGGCTGAAAACCTAATATATACAAGCTAAAACGCGAGCTGAAACACTTTTGTAATTAGTAAAAATTCTGGGGCAAAGTTGCAATTTCCTCTCCATCTTTTAAACAAGTCGCGACTCCTCTTCAGATACGGGTGACAAGCATCACCCTTGGGTGGTGACGATCGTCACCAAAGCCAATTGATGCCTTTGAGTTGCTAACTTTGTGATTGATTCTTGCAATGCTCCAAAAAGCTCCAAAACCTCTAATTGTGCTCCAGACATGCTATAACCTGCAAAGATTCTACTAGGACTCTTAAAAGACAAAAAAGATTCAATAAAAAAGACTTATACCATGGTTAAAAACTATAAAAACAATGATACATCAACTCCCTCATACTTAGGTTTTGCTTGCCTTCAAGCAAATATCAGACAAAGAACAGGGTTGAGGTTTAAAAACAGAAACAGTCAGCCTAACATCAAGAACACCACATTGATCAACACTTTCGAATCCACATACAACAGAGCCAACACAAGATCAAATTTCAGTCTAATCATCACAAGCTTAGCAATTTCCTCTCCATCTTTTAAAACAAGTCGCGACTCCTCTTCAGATACGGGTGACAAGCATCACCCTTGAGTGGTGACGATCGTCACCAAAGCCAATTGATGCCTTTAAGTTGCTAACTTTGTGATTGATTCTTGCAATGCTCCAAAAAGCTCCAAAACCTCAAATTGTGCTCCAGACATGCTATAACCTGCAAAGACTCTACTAGAACTCTAAAAAGACAAAAAAGATTCCATAAAAAGGACTTATACCATGGTTAAAAACCATAAAAACCATGATATATCAACTCCCTCAGACTTAGCTTTTGCTTGCCATCAAGCAAATATCAGACAAAGAACAGGGTCAAGGTTTGAAAACAGAAACAGTCAGCCTAACATCAAAAACACCACATTGATCAACACTTTCGAATCCACATACAATAGAGCCAACACAAGATCAAATTTCAGTCTAATCATCATAAGCTTAGCAAATCTCTCAAATCCAGCTCAAGCTCCTTCAAGAAATCTGAAATCTCTACTACTAACTCTTTATATTTATCTAAGTGTGATACCTCATCAAGGTTTTATCAACTCAATCACTTATAGATTCTCTTCTCTTCCTAAACATGGAACAAAGCAATCTTAACACAGCTCTCCTATTTTCTCTTCCCTTAAACTTTTCCTTTGGATATTTTTGATTTTTCAATTTCTTTTTTCTTTTTTTTACAGCCTAAGATATGGTGCTACTCAATACATGTGTTCTTTGTGAGGAGACAGGTTCTTGAGTGATCACTACTATTGTTCCTTGTGAGGAGACATGGTCATGATGCACCATCCTGCAGACTTAAACTCTTAAAAGCTGTATCAGGGAAGATCAAAGAGAGACTGCATCTAAACATTCTTGTCAGTGTTGAAAGAGAGAATCAAGATCAATGAGAATCAAGCCCCAAGATTAGAAGTTTAAAGTTCATTAAGGTGGAGCTAACATCAAATTTTCCATATTCTCTAAGAACCTAAACCTTCATTGCTAGACTGATCTACCTATGAGTTTCAACTTAGTATGACTTGTAATCAACATCCGTGGCAATTAATCTTATAAGTATCAACGTTTTGTGGTTAGGTCCAAGAAAAAGTGACAGTTTCAAAATTTTGACTCTATAAAACAGGTTTTTGACTCAACTTTAAGACTCTTAAAACAAAATAAAATGTACACAACGTTAGTAGCCACCTCCCCCAGACTTAAACAACACTGTCTCTGTTATTAAGCCTAGAGTTGGTCAAAAAGAAGCAAGTGAACGTGTAGAACCGAGTTTGAAAATGGTACCTTGCGAAGGATCGGGTGACGAGCGTCAACGATCGTCACAGCGTATGAAACTCCAGCCTCGACAAGTTATATGTGTTAAACGTTATCTTATCATTTGTACTCTAAAGTTATACTGTTAGAGCACTCAAACACACATTTAATAACATCCAAACATA